AAGGAAGCATCCTTATTCCCCCTCTCCTCCCTCCTTTCCACTCCTGCCCCCGGACGGAAGGCATATTGGATCACTCTGTGAGAGAGGGAGTGCTCTTCTTCTGAAATAACACCCTCTGCATGGGCAGTTCTGCTGGTTCTGCTCTTCTCAATCCACCAGGAAAAAAATCTCTGCTGGAATCCTGTTCTGCTGGAATCAAAAGACAAAATGCAGCTGATTTCGGCAGAATTTTCCTTAAGAATAAAATCAGGAAAACAAAGAGTTCCTGATGGTATGCATTGAAACATTTTAAAGAATGTTTGAAAGGCAACATAGCTGCTTTTTATTATTATTATTTCAAAGCTACTTTCATTTCAATTTTGAGTCTCTTTGTATTGTATTAGATAAGCTGCAAAACTCAAAATCAAAGATTTCAGTCATTCCAAACAAAAAAAAAAACCAACCTATTTGAAAGTTAAAAACCAGAATATTTATAAATTTGCCAAATCAAATTCTGAGAAGTAAAAATGCTCTATAAAACAAAATCTAATTATCAATTTTCACCGTCTGTATAAATATTAAACATTACTTGAATACAATTCTCAATCTGAGAAATCCCCTTGTGTAGATAAGCCTTTAGTACTAGGTAGGATGAGAAAAGTGCTGTAAAGTGACGTAAAAAGCTGTTATGTAAGTGTTGTAACTCCAGTAATGGGCTTTACCAGTACAACACCTACATTTTTGAAAAAAATAGATATATTTTATCACCAATAAAAGTTTACAACTAAGGGAGAAGTTATCTGTACGTCAGGATTTACAGGTTTAGGAATTATATAATCCTAAGTGACGTTTCCAGCATTAGTCCTCTAGACCACATGACTTTTCAAAACAGTCAAACAACTTCAGCATCCTATTAACTGTGTCCTCATGTGCATGTATGCAGTGCCATTGGTCTTACAGGTGTAAATTAGGGCAGGATTTAGTCCATGATATTCATATACCAAAAGAACAATTGCAAATTCTTAAAGGAGAGGGGGGAAAAAGGAGTCAATAGCCTTAAAAAAATTAGTGAGATTAGAGACAAAAGAAAAATAATTATGTTGACAAAAACAAAGCTATATGTTAACTTGACCCTAAATGAAATCTTAGATACTGGCTAGTAAGTTCTCTGTTGAAATCACTGAACCCAACACTAAAATAAAAGCCACTTTGGAGGGGACAGCAGCTTTAAACCTACAGAAAGCAGCTTTACATACCAACCGCAGGCAGCGAGCAAAGATCACTGTGTTTAAGCAGAAACTGCAGGAAGTGTGTGGGTGGCAATAGCCATCCTCCACGCTAGAGTTTAGTGGGTGACCATTCCTGTGGCTGGTCCAGGAGAATATCCATGCTGTGGTGAGATACACTGCCAAGATGCACCCAGCTTTCAAGGCTCAGCAGCTGACTTTTTTTGCCAGGAACCAAAACAGAATTAGAAGAGCCAGAAATGAAAGGTGAGATCTTGGATCAAGTACAATAAACTTTGGATCCTGTACAAAAGTCACAGAGATCAGATGTCACCCAGTGATTAGGAGAAGATGGGGTAATACCAAAGAGAAGGAAGGCCAGCTATGTTAAGAGGAAGAAAACTCCTTCAATTATAGCCCAGATCTACAAGTCAGAAGATCTAGTTTATACTCTTGACAAAGCTGAAAACTTCCTGTGACATCTTAAGCAAACTCGTTTGCTCCTCGATAAAACAGGATAATAATTTACACAGTACAGAGCTTTCCATTAACTGAGGTGCATAGACTGCTTGCAGCTCCCAAGGTGAAAAGTGCTCTTACCCTAAAACACGGCAACAAAACCCTCCTATCATCCATCTGCTGAACACAGTGGGAATGCTCCCAGTGGGGTACCACACACAGCCAGTTCCCACTGATGTAAAACATTTTAGTACTTGCTACTCAGTGCCATTTACAATAAGGTTCCAGCATACTGCTTCCTATCCCTTACCACATTCTTCATGAATGGAAACTATTCATACCATTATACTAGGAATAGCCAAGTAAACAGGAAAAAAACAGAAGATTTGCTAGCAGGTGCTATGGGAGGGGAGAAGGCTATGGTGATCAGCAGCTTTGGCAGCTATGTAAATGGTACTAAGTGTGGCAATTTTGTTAACTACTTCACTGTCAAGAAAGTCAGAACCATGGGGATTCATATTTAGAGAAGGCTTTCTAACATACTGTTGGCTCTTATCTTAACCCAGCATTCTATGTGCTATTAATCACAGGCCATGACAGACATTATATCAGCATCAGCAGCAAGCAGAGTAGCAGAATATTCTGTGTGGAAAAAAAAAACAACCAAAACCCCACCATGAATAATGTTAGTTGTTCTACAGTTTCCAACTTCCAGTTAGGGTTATTTGGCTCTGAGCTGATGAAGGCACTTTCAGAATATCGGCTGGAAGGAGGACAGCATCCAGATGTATTTGACAGGAGTAAAAACCTATGTAAGCCCTACGTTTCTTGTCTAAAAGTCACCACCCCAAAATAGCTTGTGATCTAGTTATTTTTATTTAGAGAAGAGACTGTGCCTTGAGTTTGGATCAGAGTCCAAATTCCACTAGAGTTTCAGACTGTTATTAAGGTAGGATGCTCCTTTTTGGCCCAGTTCAGAAACAGGATAACCAGTAAGTTAGGGATCTTGTTTAGAGCCAGGCTCAGACATTAGGGGTGGTCCATTTTTACAGGTTTGTCTCATACTGTAAGAGAGCAGTGTTACATGAAAGGGAGAGTTTGTTTCTTGATGAAGGGAGAGTTTAAAAACTGTCCCCAGTTCCAGGTTTCAGAAAGGCTGCAGGTTGTTTCTTGGTTGCTAGGAAGATTCTGCATCTCACCAGTCCTCAGAGGGTTACCATTTGATAAATAACAGCATGTTTCACTACCTGAAAATCATAGTGGTGGGTACTAACAGCCCTTCATGTTAAAGCACAGTCAGCAGACACACACAGTATTATAGCTTGTTTCGTTTTACCTGTGCATACATCAAGGATTTTTTGACAGTTCTGTATTTTGGGATGTCAAAACCCTGTAGGAGCTACAGGATCTCTTAAAAACCACCTGCACCTTTTCTTCGTCCTTCCTCCCATTTTCAAATGATCCTTTGAGCACAGGAGTCTTCTTCATTGCCCCAACTGAATATTCTTAAAGATTTTATTATAACTTGCCAGTTCAGCTTTAACCACAGTGGTAGTAACATAATAATTAACACCAATTTCTTGTAAAGACTGTTAGGAAATTTGGACAATAGTGATCCCTAAGTTACCTGAGCTTCTACCACACTGTGTACCCATCCTAGAGCTCTTGTTTACAAAGGAGGCTGACACAGTTCCAAATATTCCATTTTAGTTGCTCATGTAACAAACAGTTCTTCACACATATTTTATTCACATGCTTGGCACATGAAGCAGGTGTAATATAGTCTACTCCAGTAGATGCGTCTGGTCCCAGACCCGTCTTCAGACCTGTAGGAGGCAATGCAGGAACTGTTTGGGCCTGTGGGCACATTCTGTGGGAAAGGATTCAGCCGCCTTCTCTCCTCTCTCACCTCTCCTCTCACTCAGGGCAAGCCAGTGCTAGTAAACAGCTCTCTCTTAAAGGTAAGGAATGTCAGTGGGTTAAGAAACACCACTTTTTTCAGTACTTTATCTGAGAGGCTTCACCTGACAGATTAGGAAGACCTTGGACCACCTTTTCTAATAGCAGAGCAAGAGGTACAAGTGCCATCAACAGAAGATTGGTAGCAAGCATCTGGAATGGCTGTAAAATTTCCAACCAGCTCAGCTGTTTGAAAATAAATGTCTGTCCACAGCCTTATGGAACTGAGCTGGTACCTCTTCAGACATCCCTTACATAAATCTCTTGTACACTCAAGAGATTTATGATAAACACTTGCTCTTTCCTTAACCTTCAAAACCTTTTCCACCTGCTGAATAACACCAGATTCTTTCCTCTCACCCAGCCTGTTCACTATCTATAAAAAGCCTCTAGAGAAGATTCAGTGGCACCATGGACTGGCTTGTCAGCAGTACACACATGACACCCATCTCTCCATCATCTTCACCTCCCATGCAAATGACACCATTACCCAGCTCTTCAAGGGCTTGGCTAATATCAGCAAATGAATGAAGTTGGCAGAAGCTAAATTGTTGTAAGAGCCTGGGCTGATGAAGATATATGGGAGTATTTTACACTTTGATAATGTCCATTGCTGGCATTAAAGACTAACTAAAGATTTAATGTTCATCTGAACTCTATCATCCCAAAAACCCCAATAATGGTTGCTGTAAAGGCCTCAATCCTTCAGCACTATTTCCAGTCAGATAACCTGAAAGACTGGACTTGGCCCTAATGCTTGATATCTACAACCTAGTGGGTTTAGGAATGACAACCCATACAAGAATGCATCAGGCCATTTATTTAGCAGCACAAGACCACCAAACAAGCTTAAGCGCTGTTCTTTGCTCTGTTAACTACTCAGTCCCAGCTTAAATTCAAGGCTTTGCCTTTATTTTTAAAGCCTTTATGACCTTAGCAAAAATTGATTTAAGGGCATCCACATTTCTGAGATATGACACTGTTGAAACCTGACAGTTATGTTGCTCTGTAACAAAATAAATAGCTACTTTGCAGGGTGTGTGCACCAGAGATAGAGATTCCCTACTGCCTAGTACATAACTATGGCCTCCTGATCACCTGCGAACGACAACCATACATCTTGAAAGTGCAGAAAAGAGAAGCTCCAGCTTTTCAACCCCGCCTACGCATCTTTATTCCAAAACCATCAGCTTGAACAAATAGTCCATGACTGACAGACAGGATGAAGTCTGATTTCCAAGGGCACTCCAGTGGGAGCTCTCTGGTGCCTGATAAAAGGTGAGCTGAGCTGGTAGCACGTTGACGCTTCTAGCACAATCTGCCTCTGTCTTTCAACCTCACAGGAACTTCACTTTCAGATCTGTATTCTTTTGCCAACAGGCTCAAACATTTGGGGAGGTGGGGAGGGAGGGTACATGGAATCACATACACACACAGCATGAATTCAGAGGCATTGTTTTACTAGGAAAGAGTTATTGGCAAAAGTGCCCCATGTAAAAAATAGGAGAGGAAATGAGAGAGAGGAATGTCAAAGATGCCTTGTGTTCATTTTCATGAGCTCATAAAGTAATTGGAGGCAGACAGATAAAGGTATACAGGAACATCTGAGGAGTCATTGCTTTCCAACACACCAGTAACAGCCAGGGACTCAGAACCTGGAGAGAATCAGACAAACATTTTTAAATGACAAATGAGTCACTAATGATAATCAGACCTAAAAGAAATTTATTTCCTCTTAAAAGAAACCCAAAAGCTGCTTTTCAATTATGTGAGATCAAAACAAGACAAAAAGTCCAGAAGATACCATTGAAAACCACCTGAATCTATGTCCCTAACTCACTGCTACATAGGGAGGGGATCTTAAGATTGCATTTCTATGTCACTTTTTCATTTCCTGACCACTGCTGGGTTGCAATACATCTAACTACATTTAAATTGCCTACCAAGCAAAGTAAAACAGAGGTACCTCAACAGGGGAACCAACTGGACATGTATCTATAAAATATTCGGTATAAATGCTCTGACAATGCAGAATTCTCATGAGGTATCTAGCATTCCATCAATCCCCCTGGATTTGCTGGTTTTGCCTGGAAGGAAAAACGTGCATGTATGAACAGGGATGTCTGTTCAGAGACACTAAAATAGGTTTATAATACACCATGCTGTTTTCTTCAGCACAAAAATAAGCCCTAAAGAATGCATGTCAGGTAATTTTTTCTGAGAAAAACTGGCAATAACTCTGAGCATTTCAAATGCCAGTCAGACAGCTTTTCAAATGGTTAAAAGGTGCATGAAGGTTGAAAAGCTCACAAGTCTTGCCAAGGTTAATAAGACTTTGCAGAATTTGTTAAACTAAAGTTTCCATTAAATTTTCACCACAACAACCATGCCACTTGACATCTGCCTAAATTTGTGCAGACCTTTGTGATAATCTGACAACAAGTAAATAATCAAGCAGATCATCAGAACAGAAACTTAGAATCACTGAAGAGGCCCACTCAAAGACTATGCCTTTATGAGGTTGTATCTTGTCAGGCTTTTCTAGCTCTTGATTCCAGCAGCAACACTTGGGTTGGCACACTGTGTCAGAGAGCTAGTATTTTTGAATTACAGCTGAGAAGAGAAGCAAAAATTAGAAACAAAAATTATGCTGGTTTAAATTTTTCATAAGGCAGCTAGCATCATCATAAAAGTGCCCGAATTTTACTGCAAACCGACCTCCTCCTCATTCTCTCCCAAAACTCTTATCTTCTTGTCTTTAACTGACAATTCAGAAAACAGTCAGAGTGCTGCTTCTTTCTGCCTTGTATCCTCTGCCACGCTTTGCACATGTGCTTATCCAGTAACAGCCATCACTAGTGAAATGGGATTACGTTCCACTGGTTAAGCGCATGAGCACAGCCCTGGGTGGGGCTGTTGGAGGATCAGCTCTTAATAAGGTGTCCAATTTATAATCCAGCAGCGTGAAGAGCAACTGGCTCTCAAGAATGAATAGCTCCTCTGTGTTACCATCTCCTGAGGCTGGATGCCGAGCCAGATCGCCTCATCCTTTCTTCTCTCTCTCTCTCTCTCTCTTTCAGATGCTGTTACTATGCTCACTAACTTTTTGGTGTTTCCCAGACTGGAGATATAACGAGGAAGGAAGACAAGAAGTATCCACCCGTGTCTGGTCACACACTGTTTGAACGAACCCTCTGCTAGCTAAATAGGATATAAACCCTTCGTATTTACTTATTACAAGAAGGTTGCGTCTCAGCCTAGGATCCTGCTCTCGGGGACAACCTTAGTGCCAAGAGATGCCTTTAAAAGGGATGTTCTGCGCAACAGCCCCCGGTCCGCGGGACTCCAGGCACCGCACGCAGCGTGCAGCCGAGGGGAGCAGAGAGGCCCAGGCTGGTGCTCTCCCCGCTTTTGCCCCAAACCTCCCAAACCTCCCCGCTGAAGCGGTGCCCGGCGGGGCGGGGCGTGCGCAGGCGGCGGGCGCGGCCCCGCCCCCGCGGCGGCGCGCACGGCGCAGCGCCCTCTGGCGGCGCGCAGGGGCCGCGCGGGGCAGCACCTGCCGCGCCGGGACCCCGGGGCTGGCCCGTGGTTACCCTAGGCCGGGTTTTAACGTAGCGTCCTTCACTTACCGTGCAGGGTCGGGAGAGGCCCGACCTTCTGCTGCAAAAAGACCCCGCAGGGAGGCGGTTGGCACACCGGTTCTGCAAAGGCTGGTGGTGGCACAGTCAAGCATCTCCCTCTCTCTCTTCTCCAAAGCGGTTCTCTGGCCAAGGATTCACCCTGCCACACGAGGCTTGTCATTGAGCCTCCCATACCTCCAGGAGACACAGTATTTCCTTTCCATGGCGATGATCTAATCCAGCCTCTCACAAAGCGCACATCTGCAGCATGCTGTGTTCACAGGAAGGACTTCTCAGGAACAACTGCTCCTTGGTACCTACCGACCTCCTTTTATTCTGTCTCTGAGCTGGCACTGCATGGTGTAGAATGACTCTTTCCTGCCTGCAGCACTTAAACAAAAAAACCCTTCAAATACTTTCTGAAAGTACCACCTGAAAACTTTCCATCATTCCGTGCTTCCCCCCTTGCCAAAGTGAAGTGAAAGGTGATACGACCAGCCAGTCAATCAATCTCTGTCAGGGGCATCTGGCTCCCGTAGGCTTTTTTATAGCAGGAGTCTGTTTCTAGGACCATTGGCTCTTCTGCAGCGGGATGCTGTTTTCCGGATCTGATTTAAGCTGAACTCCAAAAGACCACAGAGAAAGAAGAAGCAGGGAGTGTGCACTCAACTTCCCGGAAAAGACACCCAAGCTGTTCTTATAGCCTTCTGCAACCTCACTCCATCCTCCCCAGCTTTCCAGCAATTGCCAGCACTATGGGCTCAGAGGGCATGGGAAGCAGCCTGCAGCTGGCCCGGGGAGCCTGCCTGGTTTGAGCAGTGTTTTCAATTAATAGCCTGCTCAGCAGCCACACTATGGTCTGAGAGAAATGCTAAGTGTTACTAGCAGTTTCTTGGTCCAAACTGTTTGGGAGAGCCACTGTTCTGTCCTCAACCTCACAGGGTCTTTGCATCTGGGAGGGATGCCTGGGATGGAGAACACAAAAGGACAAGCTGGACTGGAGTATCCATTATGCCATTGAAAAAAAATGAAAATAAGATGTCAACAACTTCTATGAGCCTAATTGTTTCTTCTCAAACAGATTGTTAGCTTATGTGAATCAGGGTAGCTCTACTGAGTAAACCAAAGAATGGAAGGGGGAGGGGGGATAGTCTTGGTATCAGAAAGGCACAATATGGGTCTTAATCCACATTGATTGCTGGCTACTGAGTAACATTAACTTATTGCCACAACCCTTCCCACCACCAACAGATAGTGGCACTAAGAGACATGAAGAGACACAGAGTGGCAAATAGTGAGACTGCATAGTTTCTGCAAACACCACCATGCAAGGCCACCTGAAGGACTGGACCTTCACTCCCTCTCTCTGCAACTCCTGCTCTTACCCTGCTGCTCAGCTCTACCATTAAACCAAAACACAGAAAACTTAGCTGATTAAAAACCAGAAATGGTTATTTTCAGAGCCAGATTGCTTCCCTGATGTGTTCCACCCTACAGTCACATGTACTCTGGACCAGGTGTAAAGAAATACAAGTGGTTCTTTCAGCATCAGTGCCAGCTTGAAGAGTTCATCAAACTGCAGCCTGGTGAAACACTGGGAAATCCCACAGAAAGCAAAAGAGGGGAAGCTGTACTTTAATTTGTACAAAACACAGACAAAGATCAGGCAGTGAGTGAGTGATGCAAATGCACCTAGTCAGATTTCTCCACTGGACCTTCAAGAGAAAAAGAGGTAAAACATCAAGCACAAAGGGCATCCTGACTTCTCCAAACACAAAATCAGGACAAGCTAAATCCTGTCCAATTGCACAACATTAAAGAGTGATTCTGTGCTCTTACCTTCTGCTAAGGGAACAGCAATGTTCTGACCTGCAGTGATTTATGTGTAGCAAATTAATGCCATAAACAAGTGAGAGGAACCAAAATCTCATGCCCTAATCCTTCAAAGCAAAACCAAATTCTTTATAGGCAGCACGATTGCTGACGAAGGAGGTAATGTTTATCCTTATTTGAATCCAATAAAAACATCCAAACAAGAGAAATAATGCTCAAAGAGCTCTTCTCCGTTACATGTGCAAATAATGTTTAAAAAAAAAATAATAATTACTTCACATGCTTTACAAATACTAATTAATTTAGCCTGATGTCTCCCCAGCTGGACAGGTGTTACTACCTCCAGTGAACATATGAGCAAGCTGAGTAAGACAGATTTGGCCCTGTTTTTTTAAGTAGCATCTAATTTTCAGTGCAATTCTGTGTACAGGCAGCTTCTGTTAATTTTGGCTAGAGCTGTACGTGATTAATACATGTGCAAGACAGATTCTGGGTATCTCAAGCTACAGGGCTAAAATTAAAGACCATGCTTGAAAATGTGATCTTAAAGGACTTGCCCTTGGCTGGGCAAGACAAGGAATCTGTTGCAGGATCAGGAAAATAAGCCAAGTTTTCAGATTCCTTGGGGCTTGTCTCCACAAGAAATGCAGGGAAGCAACGCAAAATTGCAGCATGCCAGAAACATTCTCCTCAAGTGGACCCTTCAGTGTTCACTGCTTTCGAAGAGCAAATTTTAACACCACCATAAATTCATCCTTTCCCCCCCAAACACAGAGAGACTCACTTCTCCCTTAGCACTGAATACTGTAGCTTGTTGCCACTTTCTAAACTGAAAGGTGATGGTGAAAAGAGAAGGATGTGGTGACTCCAGGGTAGCAATAAGAAAGCCAAGGGTAAAGTTTCACTTTGATTTCAGCAGAAAGCTTCCCCATAAAGATGTTTTGGTTTGCAATCAGCGATGAAGTACTTACCTGCATTTCAAAGAGGAGTGAGCTTCCTTCCACTTAGCATACTCAAGATCATGTCTACTGATTTTAAGAAGAGACACGGATGATCTGAATAGTTGCCCCCATTAGCTGGAGCACGGTGCCAGCCCAAAGGAGGAGCTGTGTGGTTTCATGCTAGAAATAAGCAGCATTTCTCTCTGCAATAAATCCTCTAGAGATAATCTAACAATGTCTACAAAGGAGACTGGGCTACAGATGCACATCCTCCCAAGCTGAGATGCTGGTGGAAAAGTCTATTGTCTCAGCCTGTGGCTTCAGGTCTGGTTTGCTCAACTGTGTTTAAATCCTTCTCACACATTTTCAGTCTGAATGAGGTAGGTTAGAGGTGACTTCAGTATTATAAGCTACCACCCAATGCAAGACAGGAAGGGGTCAACCCACACCTTATTCCCTGGATCTGAAGCAGCAGGAACCTCTGATACCAGGGAAGAGCTGGAGACAGAAATTTCTTCCACAGCCTACATGAACTGTTTGGACTGAAGCAGAGCCCTTTGGTGTAGCTCCCCCTCATCCCTCACACGCACACACAGAGACTTACACCTGCTGTCCCACGACACCAAGCTAAGTGTTTGTGTAGCTAAGATCTAAAGATTTTTTTTTAAGGATCTTTGGGCTAAAAAAAACCCACCATGCACTCTCCCTGAAAAGCATGTATTTTCTTTTGAGTGGATCATTTCACAGAACTAGTTTAAAGGGCAGTTAGACAAACAGCTGTATCAGCACAGCCGATGAAGCAGTAACCTGGGGCAGCAGAGAAGGAGCCGACCAGAGCAGCCACCTCGCTCAGTTGAAAACTAGAGCAGGATGTCTGACTGTGGCCCAGCTCTCCCAATACTTTCCAAAGTGTTTGTTTTGGTTAGAATTGGGTTTGTGGTGTTCTTGATTTTTTTTCCTTATGTTTCCTAAGGAAATTCAGTTTATGCGATTGCTCTGTCCCTCAGTTTTCCTGTAATCTGTTTCAATTCTGCTGTGCACTCTCAGTCAAATCTGAAAGAATTCGAAACCACCATGACCCTCTAAATCAGTCACTGTCTGGGTAGAAGCCCAAACTTGTGTCCTCTGCGAGCAGAAAAGCAGGCAGAACTCAGCTGCTAGCCACTGCTGCTGGTTAGCTGACACACAGCTCTGGCCTATGCCTTCAGAGGGGCAGAGAGGGAGCTGAAGTGGTGAACTTGATGTTCATCATGCAAGGCCAGGCTTTGTCACTGTGATTGCTCATGCACAGACTGCCTAAATCCAGACCTCGAAACTTATGGCATGCAGACTTCAGTGTGCACTTGTGCTTTAAAATATAGCGTCCTGTCAGAAGTTCCTACTATAAGTCATTAAAATGTAGTTAGTACTTTTAAATCCATTCAGTGATTTCTGTATCAGGCTATTGTAAGAATAATTGTCTTAACTACACAAGTAGTACAGATATTCTTAGTGAAAGAGGTGATACTTTCTTCTGTGCAGGGGCTCAGTTGTACCACTTGTGCAATATGATGCCTGATACTGTATTTATATTGCTAAAATGCATTTTCTGAGGGGAAGCTCAACACAGAGATGAATTGCATCTAACATGAGAGGAAAAAAAATAACTTGTCATCCAGATAGGTTATTTGCTGATCTATAAATCCAAGAGAACAACAATGCATACTGTATTCCTGCCTGTTCCCACACACTCCTTCTTGTCATCGCAAGAGGTCTTTAGTACCCTGAAATATAGCTTGACAATAAAAATTAATTGAAAGTGCGCTAGAATCATTAACTTTCAGAGCTTCATAGTTTGCCCATCCTTAAATAATGCTGGTTATAAAATCCTGTTTGCGCTACAATTTCTTGGCTCTCTGCCATGTAGCATGTACAGAAATCAGCAATATGTGCAGCGGGACTTAGCTGGCTGTAATATGAATGCACATAATAGACTTTCTTCTTTAGCTCAGCAGCAAAACATTGACTCAGATCTTGAGACCAGTTATAGTCCCAGCGGTGTTTACTCTGTGTAATTAGCAGTATCAAGTGTGTTGTCTTTTGGGTAGCCTGATTGTTTCCATATGCACGTGTACCTTCTGTGAACGCAGACAGGGCAAGAGGCAGACAGCATTCAGAGTGCATGCATTACGGGAAGCACATATGTTTTAAATACATTATCTCTACAATTAAGAAGAGTTTAGAAACTGGTCATATAAATCTTAGAAAACGTGGCCAGCAGAGAAAGAAAAAGACTTTCTTTCCAAGCAAGAATTTTGCCTGGGTAACTACTGGTACCCAGGTCCCCAAGATGGTGCAGACATCTCCCTGCTTGCTGGTGAGAGAGCAGCACGAATCAGTAGCTCACGCATTGCTCCAGGAGCAAGAAGGCTGTTGACGCTGTGCTGGGGCCTGGAGGAAGATCGGGCTGGCATTCGAGGTGGGGCGTGCCTGGGAATGCTGCACAACATTCATCTTAGGGGCAG